TTTTCAATTCAGATTTATACCTGTAAATTTATTGGGCATAGATGCTTCACAGTTGAGCAAGCTAAAGGATGACACATCCACAGCTGTATCAATCGGCTTACTGTTTTCCTTGTCATTTCCACAGCTATGGAAAAGCTGCGTTTTGTCTGGAGGAGCTGATGATGACCAATCCTCACAATCACTTGTACTGTGAGCAGTACGCTGAGGTAGGTACCCGCCTGGATATCCGTCATCAAGCATGGGGGCAAACTGTGGAATAAATGTGCCTCTCTGTAACACAGAGAGACACCGACACGCACTTAACGTCACTGGGAATATAGGCTCATGAAAGGAGATGTGTTTACACGGGGTTGTCATGTATTGCTTATTCAGATGTCATGCTGTCATTGCTTGAGCTGCCCTTTAGCACAGCTTATTGGCCGTGTTTAATGCCTCCTCACACAGGTGAAGTACACGCAGGGGGGGCTGGAAAACCTGGAGCTGTCCAGAAAGTATTTTGCCCAGGCACTGAGGCTGAACAACCGAAACATGAGGGCATTGTTTGGTCTGTACATGGTGAGTACTGCATTGCACAGGGGGGGAGTGGGAGTGGGAGAGGAAGGGGAAAAAAACAAAACAGTAGAACCTTTTTTGTAACCCTGTGGTTTGTCAAGGTTGAGGCTGACCACTGTGTGTGTCAAGTAAGACTGTATTTTGTGTGTGTGTGTGTGTGTGTGAGAGGGAGAGAGAGAGGGAGAGAGTGGCAGGCATGGGCAAACATGGAAGAATGATGGTAGGTTTTCTGTTCAGATACACACAAACTCATTAGAGAAACAAGAAGCTCATTCTTTCCTGTGAGCGAAAAGAGCAGTGGACGGCCTGATTTAAGGACATCCCATCTGCTTAGCTTGTAGTGTAATATCACATTATATTGCTGTAAGTCAGTCTGATGACATTTAGTGTTTTCAGTGGTAGCGAAGGCTTTTCATTAAAAATGTCTTGATTATGTGCTTCTCTTGATTCACAAAGCTGGCAATGCTTTTTTAGGAGCTGAACAGACCTGTTTTCATGTGGTATTTCCCCACCACGCCCCTGACACCATGGGCTGGAACATAAACTAGAGGCTGTTGTGAAAAACTGTCCTGACTGGATTCTTTAGAGGCAGCGGCACTGAACTATACTGATCACAGCATGTTGATGTTGGCCTGAAATCAGCTCCTCACATCTAGCAGACAGAATCTTTCCTTGTGCATCTTGCATTTAATCTCTAACTGGAAAATGATAATGTGAGGTTTTGGGAAATTAAAAATAAACATTTCCTGATGAGAATGTGGAGCAGGTTCAAAGCTGGTGAGCCTGTTCTTGATCTGGACTGGAAATAATTGAAATTGTATCTTTTTAATGTTTACACTTTGGCCACCAGATGTCCCAGTATTGTGTTCAGATACAGTATGTCTACACTTAGGAAATAGGAGACAGTTTTATACAAGTTTATACACATCATTTACTATCATACCTGGATATGAATGCACCATTAAACATGCTGTAAGCCCTCATAATACATTATGTGTCTAAAGCAACAGCTCATAATCTCTTTCCCCATTATGCCTAAAAGGTTATTACAAATAGTATTGTGATTATAATAAGTGGTGTTGTTGTACGTTTGTCTGCTTCAGTTAAAGTGAGGCTGTATTCTTATCCAGCAAACGTACTGTTGGACTCTGAGGCAGGATTAGAACCATTTCACCATTTGTTGATCCTGACACCAGAGCCCACAGTCTATATTTCTTAACTGAGTGGGAATACTGGCTCTGCTGGACCCACAGACACAATGTAACCATACAATATTTCTTACAAAAGTCATATCCCATGTATAATTAAATTGACAACCTATATCTTATAGTACCAATATTTCAAGAAAATTTTCCCAAAAAGACAATCTAAAACCCATAAACCAAAGAAAATATAATTACTTAACTACAGTTAAAATAAAAGGGACACACTTTCAGTTTCAAGCTATTTAATTTAATATTTTAGGTAGATCACTATTTGTACTAACATTTGTTTTTCAGTCATGGCCTCACAATTAAACTCTGCATAATAATATCTGATGCTTTTTATTACTGTATTTTCATTGGTCAGTTGCCTTAGCCCCGCCTACACCTGTCTCGTTATCCCCGCCCAGTGAAATACCTCTCATTCCCGGTCCTCTCCTCCTCCAGTTCTCCCACTCTCAAACTGGTCCATCCACTGTCACGCTTTCGGCGTTCAGCTCCAACGTTGAACGTTAGTTGAACTTTTTTTACTCGTGTATACTTTGTTACATTAATGAGCTAAAATGAAAGTGTCAGACATCATTCAGACTGCAGTGAGCTGTCGGAGGACGGAGCTCAATCCTTGATTCCCGCCAGCGCCGCGGTCTAACCGGCTGCATCACCGGGAGTCTACAGACCGAAGATTTTAGGAGTTCCTCTCTCCAAGAGGAGGACAAACATGGGAAAATGGCAATTATCGATGGTAGGTCAGATATAATGTGCGCTGCCTTGTGTGTGAAGAACGAGGTGGAGTAAGTTTTGAGGTTGTCTCCACATTGTTATTCAGTCAAACTTTGACTAGTCTACATATGTAGTCAGCTTCATGTGAACCTTATTCTCTCTTAAGGACAAACATTGTTATAATGGTTTCATTCAGTGTGTAGATCCAGGCTCATTGTGCCTGGCAGCTAGCACACTGGGTTTTGTCTGAGTTTCTGTCATGTGATATCAGGTGTTGGTCTGCTTCTATTGTTACACATATGCCAAATAACATTGTGATTACTTATAGCCTGTATGGACAGACTGGCACAGTCATTGGTCAGCATCATGCTTCTATTTGTCAACAAGCTCTCTATTTCTCTGTCTGGGTTCTTGTGCACATACATTACATTATTATAGAGTCCAGTCACTTATATTTGTGTGTCCTGTCATTGAAGAGACAGAATGGGACAACAGTGACAGTGACATTGTTTTTTTATAATGTTATAATTTACTTTATAATTTCTTTGGATAATATTAAGTTTGTGTCTATTGCATTTCAACTTGTCTGCAACTTGCTGAATAACGCTTATAGCATATTGTGAAGGACTGTTGTATCTGATTGGGGTGTAACAAGTAATCAGTGAGCCGGTCTCTTGAAGAGTTAATATTGTTCTAGTGCTGCAATAATGAGCCATAATTTAATATTATCACTTCAAATATGACATGTTTCTCATCTGGTGGTACTTGGTTTCTTAGTTCTTGTGTATAAAATAATAAGTTAAAATGTATCCGTCAAATATTCCCCTTATTTTTTTAGTATAAAATATATAATTGTTGTTCTATCACTCTCGTGTGTTCCCTTCAGAACCTGTAGAGCAAAGTAATCCCTCCTGTTCTCTCCCGGCCACTATTTTTTATTCTTTTTCTACAGTTTTGTAATATGTAGTGTGAGGAGAAACGTATTGCTGCTGCTGTTCCAAGCGGGTACAAAGTTAGTGCCATGGTTCAGTACATTGTCCCTGTGTTTGTGGACATAAAGAAGTATGCCAGTGAATGTCTCTTTGCCTCATCATCAGTCCAGTCACCAGGTGTCTGTCTGCGTCAGAGTTCAAGGCTGGGTCACAAGCGAGCGATTTTTTAAATTTTTAATGAAATTACTCACTCTGCAGGCTTATTGCATTTGTCATCAGGAATGTGTTTCAGAAGATAGACAGAAGATTGTCACCGTAATCCAGTTAAACAGCTATTGGCAAAAGAGAAAAACGTTCAAATTTTGTAAAAGTTTCTCGTCGTGCAGTCTTTTCATACATTTGCGTAAATTATTGTGTGTGTTTCTGTTTTCAAGTACATAAAAGACTGTATCCTCTCCCATATAATGGAGAAGTAAGCAGAATAGCTGTATCGTGAATTTGGGTTATTATTTGCCAGATCTTGATGACCTTGCATTCTCCCTTGCAGGACCCAGTGCAGGAGTGGGGGGAGGAGGAGGAGGACGGGGCTGTGTTTGGTATCACGCTGCGCAGGGAGCCCGTCCAGCTGGCCTCAGACACGGCAGAGCCCCCTACAGCCCTCGGCTTCGTCCAGTATCACACGGTGAAGGTGCGCAGGCTGAAGGCTGCCACCCTGGAGCGTTTGGTCACCCACCTGCTGGAACCCAAGCACCAGGAGCCCAACTACATCCGTATCTTCCTCTCCACCTATAGAGCCTTCACCTCCACCAGCACACTCATCGAGCTGCTGTTTCAGAGGTGAGAAACTGTCCACACCGAGACTTTGCAGACTTCTGTTGAACTATACAATACAATATGAAACTGGAGCCCAGCAGCCATTGGCTTAGCTTAGCATCAAAATTGGAAACAGGGGAAAACTGCTAGTCTAACTCTGTCTGACGATAAACGAAATAAGCCTACCAGCACTTCTAAAGCCGGGGTTTAACTTGTGGTTAAATGTCAGGCTATAAAAACCAAAATATAACATGTTAATTAGTGCGCTTCAGAGGCACTGGTAGGTGGGTATTACGTTTGGACAGAACCGAGCTAGCTTTTTCCATCTGTTTTCAGTCTTTGTGCTAAGCTAACCAGCTTCTGGCTGTAACTTCAATTTAACATGTGAGACATGTGAGTGGTATCAATCTTTTCAGCTAAGTCTCGGCAAGAAAGCCCCAAAATTACCTATTCTGAAAATAGTTGACAATAGTGAAATACCAATTAAAAAATAAATATGAATTAATTTATTTATGATGTAAAGATAAAAACTATGTAACGATAAAAATGTATAGTTTTGTGATAAACAAATTTCACATGTTAAAAGGTTCTTAATTTCAATGAAAGAAGGTCTCTAATATATTCTTAACTCATTGACACTGATTTGTTATTCCAGTGTGTGCTATTGTTAAATAGGTCATCATCACTGTATGCAAATGTAATAGGAGCATATGCGTAACCGGGTGTTTCAACCTGCCAAATGCACACATCAGTTTCTAAAGAAGACAGCTATTTAAAACCCTCTTTACGTCGCCGCCTCAGCTGTTCACAACGCAAAGCTCTGTTGACGCCGAGTTTCTAAGGCAGGTTTTATTGTCATGGACTAAACAAAGCAGTCAGGAGCTTTATTCCATTCCTGAGTGGTGAAGACTACGCCCTCCACACCCAACACAGGCGCTTCTACACCTGAGATTGAATTTGACTGAGTGAGGAATGTACATCTGTAACTAATACATCTCAGAGTTAGACACAGAAAGCAGTTTAATACTATCCAAGAGCAACTCAGAGTCGAGATTCTTTCCATTAATTTGGTTTGATTTAACCGCTAAAACAGGCTCCGATCCCGACCGTAGAACCTGCCTGGTTTTTTGTCTCTATCAGGTCTTTACAGCTCACCTCTGCTCAATGTTCTGCAAATGGCTGCCTCCATGAAACTGTGCCCATTAGTGCTGTTGGCCTGATATATTATTTGTCAAACAGTCGCCCTCATATCGGTGGCGCTGGTGGCAACAGGTTTCCTGTGAGCTTTATGTAAGGTCAGCCTCTATACAGCCTGGGAAGTGTGTTTTCCCTCCTTTGCCTTACAGGATTTTGTTCAGGATGTAACATTTTGTTGCTGTAATTAACTTGTAAACCACCTGTACTGTAAGCTGATGGGTGCCGTGTAAATGACAACTGAATTCAAACACAGCTTTCACATTCTTTGATTTGCTCCCTAAATGTGTTGTCCCTGTGTCTCTGTGCTACTCGTTACTTCTAACTTAATTTAGTATGTGTCACATTTGATGCAAGACAGAGAATTACCCTGTTAGAAAACTTTGGCCATGTTCCTGCTGCATATATATATATATATATGTGTTTATGATTCCCTTATTGGAGACACTCATCAGTCTGTAACCAGGACACAGCATCTCTGCAGGGATTCAGAGTGTTGCAGGACATTTCCACAGGATGAACAGTTGTCAAGGATCAAACCTTGGACCTTCTGTTGTTTACAGGATGTTTTCTATCACCACTGCTGTAGGTTGCCATATTGTCCCTTCACATGCTGCTTATCATTGAAATGCAGTTCTCAGCTGATAGGTAATTGTGTTTACTTTTCCACAGAGAGGACTCCATTGCCAACCTGGATAACACAGTCTGCCCACGCAGGTGAGTGTGGTCACTCTCTGATTAGCAAAGATTAGTCTGGATTTGCGATCAGCCCAAATTGAGTTTTGATGGTTGGGTTCAGTGGAGTAAAAATCAAAGCTTAACATTGTCCAACACCCAATGAGCCTTTGCCACACAAAGGAACGGTTATGATTATTTGATTTGTCCGTCACAAATGATGCCAGTGCTGTCCAGGCCTCCCTTAACCTCAATCAAGGATTAACCTAGACAAGTACACAATAATTAACACTTAATTTCCCTGATCCATCCCTACAGTACCTTACCCCCAGTGATCCGGCTGTGGCTGAAGGAGTACAGTGAAGACTTCCACGAGCCCCCTCAGTACCAGGCCCTGCGACTATTGTGTGTCCACTTGCGGCATCGCCTCTGCTTCAGACGCTTGGCTCAGACTGCCGAGACCCTCCTCAAGAGGCTCCAGGAACAAGGTACAGGGGAACGGGATGTGATTATGTACGGTTTGTTTATGTTCCGCCACCATGATGGGCCACTGTGCTGTCATGGTGGTGTCTGTGTGCATGTGTACTGTAGATACATGATGTATTAAGTAGATCATCTGATCTAGATTAGCTTTAAGTAACCCAATTATAATGGCTTATATAGCTAACTATCTCATAAGAGAATAATTTGAAAGTTTTGCAGACTATCCATCTGTAATACTCTGTCAACCATGTTTTTATTTATAGCAGATCCACTGCTCCAGATTGTCTAGAACAATTTTCACTCTGTGCAAAAGAATTATCATTACTCCAGCCAAAGTGTGTGTGTCTGTGTGTGTGTATATATCCACATTCAGCAGTGAACTGTAGATAATATGAAATCCTATTAGCAGCCTGTTTCATTGTCATTTATGATTCTGTGTGTTTGACAGATTGCAGCCAGTCTGCGTCAAAGCACAGCAGTAAATCATTGCAGCAGGAGCACAGAGACCAGGAGCAC